CCATCCATCACGACGGCAGCTGACAGCAGCAGCAGTATCTTCCCCACTGACCTGTGGCTACCTACTGCCTCCCAGGATGTCCACAGGCGTCACTACCTCACTGCCACCACTGCCACCACTGCCACACCCAGTGTCACCGTTACCACCAAACATTCCCAAAGTCCCACGATGGTCACCAGTGCCCACACCAACTCCAGCAGCATCACTGCAGCCACTGTCACTCCCAGCAGGCCACATTCCAGCCACCCACCAGCACCTCCCCAGGGGCCCATGGCCTCTCCACTCGGCCCCTCCTCCCACAGCCTCTTCTTTGGGCTCAAGCTGTGGGTCTCCTGGAGACACCAGGAAGAGAAACAGAGATCTCCTGCCTCCTGGCCACTTCCCCCTGCTCGGCTTAGGGAACGGGAACTGAAACACGGAGAATGGAGGGAGAGGTGGAAAGCGGAACAGGGAGAGGAGAGAGAAAGGGCAGCCGGCCAGGTGGGGACAGCAGCCTGAGCCCGGATTTGGAGTCAGGAGGGCTAAGCTCATTCTGACTCAGCAGGCCTTGCTGTGTGACCTTGGCTGGTCACTGTCTCTCTCTGGGCCTCACTTCCCCCCTGGGAGCATCCCCCTCTCAGGTAAGAGACATCTTTCCTGGAAGGGTCCAAGCATCCATACTGTCTGGCCCCTGGGCCTTTGCACATGCTGCTCTATTTCCTGGAATGCTTTCTTGTCTTCTCGGTTGGAAACTCCTACTCTCCTTCAGAGCCTTGCTCAAGGGTTGAGCAAAGAGGGTGGAACTGTCTCTGAGTCGTCCAAGCAGCAGTGATCTGTCCCTCATCAGGGACCCTAAGCCCCTGTGTGTCCCTGTTGTGGCTCTTAGAATACTCATTACCCCTGGGTCCTCTGAGACTGTGACATCTACAGGCTGGGGTGGGTGGATGGAGTTGAGGGTGCTCGGTGCTCAGAGAGCTTACAAGGAGTGAATGGATGCCCATGTACAGGATGGCGCTGCCCGCAGTGCCCGCCTGCTGCACCTCCCGTTGACCTCGCAGTGACCCTGGGAGGCCTGGCCTTAGTGGCTTCTCAGGAGCAGAGCCTGGGCTGGGCCCAGGGCCTCCCCCGCCAGCATCTTGGATGCCAGGAGCCAGGGGGCAGCTGCTGTCCGATGGATGTCGTGGGAGGAGAGAAGCCGGTTCCTGCCTCAGGATGGCCCAGGACAGCCCAGGACCCGAGGGCCTGGCCCAGCTGCCCCGAGCAGTGTCTGAGCATGCTGTGTCCAGTAGACCCCAAGGGCTCCAGGGGAGGGCGAGGGCCGTGGCCTTGGAAATCTAGGCCTGGGGCTTCTGGGCCTCCCTGGTCACTGGGGGCCAACCTGGGGTCCAGCCCTGGGATGGCGCTTGCCCCCTCAGACCTGCAGGACTCACGTCGGCTCCTCTCCCTTTCCCTCACCAACAGTGAGACCAGGAGGAGGGGTCGGGCTCCCGACAGGACCCCGCCCTCCTGGTTCCTGCTGCACCAGGTAGAGCGGCCCCCCGGCCCCCGCGGGCCCCAGCTCAGTGCTCTGCAAATGCCACGCGGTGGTGGATCCTCCCTGAGCCTGCCAGGCTTGCTTTCCAGATGAGGGAATTCTGTGAGGGAAAGTGACCTGCCCAAGGTCACATAGTGACTTTCTCAATCTGGCTTAGGATCGACTCATTGTCACCCTTCTGTGCTGTGTCTTTCGGACCCCCTGAGAGGATGTACTGTGGCAGGAAGACAAATCAAGATCTGTGTCTGAGCTAAAAAAAACCGCACAGTCAGCAGGGGGAAACAGATGGTGGCTGTCTGGTTGCTGTTGGCTGAGCATGCGTTGACGGTGCAGGGACACTAGAAAGTCAGTGCAAACTTAGGCTGTATTAATAGAGGTAGAGCACCCATTACAGTGGAGGGGATAATCTTGTTCTCAGCGTGGGCAGATTGCTCCTGGAGAATTGTGTGCTTGTGTGTGTGTGTGTGGGGGGCTGCCAGGACACGGACACAGGGACTGATGTGAGGCCCCTGGGCTGGAAGCATTGTAGTGGAGGTTGTGTGGCGCAGGACCCCTGCATGGGCCCAAGGGCCTTCCAGATTTCAGTTTTGTGGCTGGGCTTCATTCAGCTGCTGGAGGGCCACCCCGGCACTCGGCCATTGGCTCGGCCCTTTCTCCACCATTCTCAGCAAGGTCCCTGAGGGGACGGGGTCTCATTCAATAGATGCCACAGCCAGAGCTGGGGGCAGCAGAGAGGGGACCTTCCCCGCCTGGGCCTGAGGCTGGTGGCTCCATGCTGACTGTCTGCCCCGCCCGGCCCACGCAGCCCTTTGGAGCAGAGGTTCTTATTGTCCTTATTTTGGAACGGTGGGGCCGCGCGCGGGGTCAGGGCTGACAGGGCATCTGGAGATTCAGGGACCAGGCGCCCTCCAGGGCTGTCCCAGGCCTGTGTGGATGACTCTGGGAACTTGGAGCTCAAATAAGACCCTTGATGCCCAGGGCCTATGGTACCCTTGTCCCCAACCCCCACCCCTGACCTTCAGCCGTGGCAGTGTCCCCGGGAGCAGGGCTGGTCTGGGTGCTCTCGGGGGCTGCTCATTTACGACTCACAGAGGCCTCTTGAGGTGGCTGCTAGTGTCAGCCCCGTTTTGCAGACGAAGAAGCTGAGGCACAGAGAGGTCAAGCAACTGGCCCAAGGTCGCAGAGCTGGGAAGAGGAAGGACCAGGATCATGAGCTTGAGCTGTTGCTCTGTGAGGTCCACTCCGCCTGGGCCTCACCCCAGGACCCCTGCTCAAGGCCCCTGACCGTGCTGCACTGGGGCCAGAGGGGCGGTGGGGAAGCCGTGCCAGCGGCCGACTGCCCTGTCTTCTGCCCCAGATCATGAGTGTCCTGTTGTTCGTGGAGCACACGGTGGAGGTGGCCCGCGGCAAGGCCTCCTGCAGGTTCTCCAAGACCGTGTACCTCCGGATCGGTAGGTCCAGGGACGGGGTGGGCAAGGAGGGAGGGGGACTGGCCAGGGGCAGTCGGGAGGGGTCTGGGGTCCTGCCACACCCTCTCTGTGACCTTGCCAAACCCCTCCCCGGGCGCCCCTGCCACTCCCCTGCCCTCAGGGATGCCCTCCTGTGGCCCCGAGTCTGGGCGCAGGGCAGCGTGGAGCTCCCTGCAGGGGCCGGCGCCTTAGGCCTCGGGGGTGCTCCCTGCGGCTCATCTCCCGCCACATCACACCCCGACCCACCCCTGCACCCCAGCTCGTGGCCCACTCTGTCACTCAGCGTCCCTCTCCAGGGACACCTGCAAGGGCCTCTCCCGACTAAAGGCGACTCAGCCAGCCCCCAGCCCACCCCGGCTGCACGGTCCTGGCTGTCTGTGTGGCCCATTCCTCGAGGCGGGGTGCAGGGCCTGGGCCCCCTGTGCCCGCTCCTGTGCCCTCACCGGTGCACTTGGACGGGACTTTGTCCCGAGCCCCGGCCTCACAGCCCCCTTGCCTTGCAGCCGACCTGGTGTCCAGCTTCCTGCTCATCGGCCTGCTCTTCCTCATCAGCCTGAGCCTGCTGCTCGGCGTGGTCAAGGTGAGGGGCACTGGGAGGGAGGGCGGGTGGGCGCCAGGAGTCCCGTTGCCCACCCTGCACCTCTGCTGGGCCGTGCAGTCGGCTGCCCAGTGGGTGGGGGCGCCTCAGGAGCGCCCAGCCTCACCGTGGGCTCCTCCTAGCTGTGGGAGCCCCGGCCCCGTGGGGCTCCCTGGTGGGTCGGGTGCCTGGCTGCTGTGCTGACCTGGCGCTGGGGAGGCACTGCCCACTGGCCCACATCTGGCTGAGCTGCCAGGGCGGGAAGAGGAGGGGGTGGCTTGGAGTTGTGGGGAGCAGGAGATGAGTGGGACCTCCCAGATAGCTCCGTGTCTCTCTGGGGAGGAAGGAGCGAGCCTGCGGCCCAGGGTGGAGAGCGAGGCTCCCAGGCCCTGGCGAGGTTGGGTGGGAGACGGAGGCAGACCACCTCCTGCAGAAGAGGACCCGCCTGGCCCCCTGGCCCTGGAGAGGCAGGAAGCCCATCTC